GATACGTATACCAGAGTAAAATATTGTTTGCCTAAGTAGTATTGTTTTAATGTGGTATACTCCCAATTTGATCTCTCATGCCGTCTTGCCTGCTGTTATCTCCACAGGTTCAGTGGCAAAGCTCTTTCCTTCAAAGTCTTGTTTATTTTGTTTATACTCATGATCATGCTCAGGACTTGAGATGCTGCTACTCAACGTCAACTTAGTGGTTTATCAGTTTAGTACTTAGTGTGCCTGTTACTGTATATTCGTTAAGTATTATATACTCGCAGATCTAATCAGCCGTCTAGCCTGCTGTTTACATCACAGGTTCAGTGGCGTTTTCTGCCTTTCAGATCCACGGTTTTCACCTGGGTCATTTTTATAGAGCATACCTACCTGCTGTCTTCACCACAGGTTCCATTTAGCTAATACGGTTGATAGTTAGCCCGGCTTTCTTTCCTGTGTATATCACAGGTTCAGTGCCAATTTTTTTTTTTTTCTTCTAAGCTACTAGCTCTACCTGATGTTTTTTATGTGCAGTGTCAGTGTCATCAGTTCAATTATTTCATTCTGTCAAACCTGAGGTTGCATCACTTGGGTCTATTTTACATTCCTATTCAGTAGCCTCCATCTGATAGACCTGCTGTTCAACCCACAGACAATGTGTAGCATGAAGGTATGAGAAAAATGTAAACTTTCAACTGATCTACGAATCAAAATACCTACCGAAGAGTAGAGAATAAAGAACATTTACAAATACATTGCATCACTCATCCCTTTGAATAATGAGAGCTTTTTTTTGGTTAAACTCAATTTGCTGAAAAAGGATTCCACAATATGTCAGTGACGCACAAAAACATATACTGTCTTTGAAATTTGTTTAGAGTCCATCTGGGATAATTAATGAATTTATTCACAACTGGAGACACATTGAACTCTGCCAATTCAAAGGTTGGAATAATTCATTATGACTTACTGGCAAACTGAGGCATCCTGGCAACAGCTAAAGGCTCTACGTGATCAAATGTGGCATCAAGTGTCTGAAACATTTTAATTATTACCATCATTTAATTTATTCTGAAATTCCAATCAATTCGTAAAATAATACTTAAATAATATTAAGTTTTCCAGCCCCAAGTCAAAATTGTAGGAGTAATGATCCTGACAAATATATCTAGAAAAAAAAGAGTAACAACAAAAATAAGACGAACAACAAACAGGCTGAAAACAGTCTCCTTGTCCCAGTCCCCAAGATGTTTGACATGATCTACTTGATGGCTACCTAAATATATGGACAAGATGTTCTACAAGGATGTCCACTTTGGCCTACACTGGCCTTTGAAAATGACAAAATTCATTTTACTAGAGTTATAAACTTTGCAAAGTATTTGAAATATTTGAAAAAAAACTATGTGAGGGCAGATATTAAACACTGACACTACTTACCACCGATTTGATGTCAGGATAGTTCTTTGCGGCCCAGGAGGCAGGGTAGCCGCCTATTGACCACGCAAACAACGAGATGTTGTCCGGGGTGAAGTTCAGCTTCTGAATGGCGTACTGCATCACAGCATCGATAGCATTCTGGTCCTGCTCAGGTGTGGGGGAGCCCTGTCATTGTATTTGAAATACTGATAGTGATCATCAAGTTACACTAATGATTCCCTAATGGTCCTTTGAAACAGGTGAGCTAAAAAGTACTTAGGAGATTGAACCTGACAAACAAGAAATCATCAATGTGAACATACCAGTTAAACAGCAATAATGGGAGACAAAACTCACAGAACTCCCGGCAAATCCTGGATGGTTCCAGCCGAGAACGGAGTACCCAGCATCAAGTGGTGTCTTTGTACAGCCAATCTCATAGAAACCGGAATTCCCTTCACACGTTATCACCTGGGTAGAAACAACACCTGACTGTATTAACAGATGTCGGTATGTGGTTGTATTTTGTTTTTATTATCCGTCTGCCATTATAGTACTCTGAATTATAACAGCTATTATATTTCTTGTATAGTTCCAGCAAAGTACATAGCAAAACCTACAAAATTCCTTACAAAGTCTGAATGGTACAACCACCTGTACAAGATGTCAGATCTGTATAAGATGTAATATCTGTAGAAGATGTGAGATCTGTACAAGATGTAAGATCGGTATAAGATGTAAGATCTGTACAAGATGTTAGATTTGTATAAGATGAAAGATCTGTATAAGATGTAAGATCTGTACAAGATGTAAGATCTGTACAAAATGTAAGATCTGTACAAGATGTAAGATCTGTACAAGATGTAAGATCTGTACAAGATGTAAGATCTGTATAAGATGTAAGATCTGTATAAGATGCTAGGTAGTTTTTGTACCTGATATTAATTTTCATTTCTTATTCTTCAATCTTGAGAACAATGGAAAAGTTAGAATAAGACATGTTTTTGGCCTCAGGAATTCTTCAAGTTTTTAAAATTAAAAGTTCAACAAATTATTTACTGATAATGACTGACAATTTATTTTCCATCATTCAAAATTAAAGAAAGCAAGCAAAGGATGAGTGTCTATAAGGCCCCTTTTTGAGCCCTGGTATATTCAGATTTTCACCTCTTTAATTTGTTCAAAGATGTCCTATTGTATTACATGTGGAAAAACGAAGGTAAAAGTTTGACCGAAAGTGGGTTTTTGGGAGAACCAAAAGGGGTAGGGTAAATCACAAATATAATTTGCTGTTTTCAAAATGAGCTTAAAAACCAAAATAATACCATTTCTGTTTTTGGAAACATGTGTAAATTAAACAGGCATATAAAAGAATGAAAAATAACCAAAAAATTATCATTACTTAAAGATTGTTTATATAAAATGGAGGATTAAGTCAGGGGGGTTGTTTTAGGTATTTTTCAAACGAAAAGTGTTTTGTTTTCTCAATTATTTCGTTTCTAATTTGTATTTTGAGTTGAAATTTACAACTTTACTCATTTAAGTAGACTTACATAAAATGCATATTCACTACACACTTTCCTTTCGTTTTATATTGAATTATGGCTTCTGGACACATCTCAAACTTGGCTATTTCAAATATCTCCCAATCTTAAGTGAATTAAAAAGGGCAGGACACCCTTTATATGCTATAAGTATAAGATATTAATTGTTAATATTGTATATCATATATATCATACAATGTATAATATTTGCTCAACACCTGTGGCTGAAGTGGGTTCCAGGTCCTGACTTGTGTTTTATTTATCAAAGTTAACTTACAAATCAAAAATGGCATTTGCCACCACAACTACTGTAAAATGATTAATTAAATATATGAAGTTTGATTTGCTTGTAATTTTAAGTCTCCTAGCCTCAAGGGAAGTATCTGTTTTAATTGTTACAGTTAACCCATTTCATAGTTTTATCAATTGTTCTGCCTATTTACAATAATAAGGGCTAATTGTCCATAAAAGGCATTTTTGGATAAGCATGCAACTTGGCATAGATCTTAGTTATATGATGATATTTAATTTGAGAAAGTTTCATACTTATCCCAAAATGCCTTTTTACTTAATTTTTTTTTCTCTTTTGTTTTGGAGTACAATTGTTTTTATTTAACTTAATGACTGAGAGTATCATCAATCAAACCCAAACTAAGGTATGTGTACTACCCCTCACCAGCGTTCTTCCCGCCTGTCCCGGTGTTCCTCGGCGGTCTATAAACATGGTGTCTATCTCGTTTTTGTCCTCCGTCTGCACCTTACATCTCCTCCCCTGGCACTGTAATACAGACACAACATATACCCCAATACGGCATCAAGCATACACAACATACAAGTTATACCTCAGTACTGTGTTCTCAACTCATTCAACCCTGAAGACACATTTGAACTCTTCTTATTCAGAGGTTGGAATAGTACATCATGAAATTGCAGGGTTGAACAAGTTAATATAGGCAGATGTGATAACATATCTTCCATACGTGTTAACATATCTTCAACCGGTCATCATTTCTGCTGTACTTTCCTCTGCTAAAGTCATGTTTAAGTCATCACAAAGAAAAGTGTTGTTATTAACATTACTTAAGCTGAAGTTAATCACCATAGTTCACCATCGATAAACCCAGGGGGTCAATATAATGAAAAGGTGTGAGGGCTTATTTCTGAATGAAACACATTTGTTAGAACAAAGATTGGACGCCATCTTGGATTTTCTGTCTTGAAATATATGGAGGTAATCAATTTCATGGCTTGAATTCAGAAAAAGACACGGACATCTTGTTCAGCAACCATATCCTATTTCACTTGTAAATATCAATTCATTTTTAAGTAAAAAAATAAATTCAAGCAATAATTGGTGAAACGAGAATAACTGAATCCATTATATATATATATAACACTTACATCATCCACCAGCCTTCCCCTCTCCTGGATCAGCATGTTTTCTTAAAATAAGAAAACAAGAAATGGTGAGAAGATAATTGAGCTGAGCATTAGACATCCCTCGTTGACCAAAGGAGTCATTATATTACATCTGTAATTGAAACAAGAGGCTCTAAGGCATCAAACCATCATCTGGAATTAACTCTCAAAAAAGGACCGAATTTGGCACTTACAGCTGTAAAGAAAAATAAATTTCAAGCAAAGCAAATACCCAATGAAGATTGCATTAAACTTTGACCCTTGGAAGTGCAACATTTTTAGGGCCAAAGGTCCAGATTTTTCAGTGGAGGCACAAGGTTACTATAGTGTTATAGAAATACCCCAAACTCAATCCACAATCTGTGATTTTTAATTACATACTCTCCCCTTAATAAGATAACAGACATAATTCTCACCCTACGACAATAGGGAATGTGACATTTTATCATCCCAGGACAAAAGGGGATGTGACATTTTATCACCCAAGGACAATAGGGGATGAGAGATAATTTTCACCCTATGACAATAGGGGATGAGACATTTTATCAACCAAGGACAATAGGGGATGAGACATTTTATCATCCCAGGACAAAAGGGGATGAGACATTTTATCATCCCAGGACAATAGGGGATGAGAGATAATTCTCACCCTACGACAATAGGGGATGAGACATTTTATCACCCCAGGACAATAGGGGATGTGACATTTTATCATCCCAGGACAAAAGGGGATGAGACATTTTATCACCCCAGGACAATAGGGGATGTGACATTTTAGCATCCCAGGACAAAAGGGGATGAGACATTTTATCACCCCAGGACAATAGGGGATGAAAGATAATTCTCACCCTACGACAATAAGGGATGAGACATTTTATCACCCCAGGACAATAAGGGATGTGACATTTTATCATCCCAGGACAAAAGGGGATGTGACATTTTATCACCCATGGACAATAGGGAATGTGACATTTTATCATCCCAGGACAAAAGGGGATGAGACATTTTATCACCCCAGGACAATAGGGGATGAAAGATAATTCTCACCCTACGACAATAAGGGATGAGACATTTTATTACCCCCGGACAATAAGGGATGTGACATTTTATCATCCCAGGACAAAAGGGGATGTGACATTTTATCACCCATGGACAATAGGGAATGTGACATTTTATCATCCCAGGACAAAAGGGGATGTGACATTTTATCACCCATGGACAATAGGGAATGTGACATTTTATCATCCCAGGACAAAAGGGGATGAGACATTTTATCACCCCAGTACAATAGGGGATGAGATAATTTTCACCCTATGACAATAGGGGATGAGACATTTTATCACCCAAGGACAATAGGGGATGTGACATTTTATCATCCCAGGACAATAGGGTATGAGACATTTTATCACCCCAGGACAATAGGGGATGAGAGATAATTCTCACCCTACGACAATAGGGGATGATACATTTTATCACCCCAGGACAATAAGGGATGAGACATTTTATCACCCAAGGACAATAGGGGATGTGACATTTTATCATCTCAGGACAAAATGGGATGAGACATTTTATCACCCCAGGACAATAGGGGATGAGACATTTTATCACCGAAGGACAATAGGGGATGTGACATTTTATCACCCCAGGACAAAAGGGGATGAGACATTTTATCACCCCAGGACAATAGGGGATGTGACATTATTCTCACTCCCGGACAATAGGGGATGAGACATTATTCTCATCAAAGGACAATATGGTGCAAACCATTTTTTCAGAACATGACAATATGGGATGAACTGTTTCACTCATCAACGGACAACAGGGCAGGGCATTTTACTCACCACAGGACAATATGGGGCAAACCATTTTTTAGAACATGACAGTATGGGGTGATTTATTTCACTCACCAATGGACAATGCGGCAGGGCATTTTACTCACCACAGGACAATAGGGTGCGAAACTCACCTAGGAGGGTGTTGATGAGTGCCGTTGAGCCAGGGTACATCATACGGCGACCGAAGGTGTTTGCACACATGTAACTGTCGGGCAAAGAAATATACTTGGTGCAATGCATAAAAAATATCTATTACTCACAAGCTTTTCAGTTGACTAATGTAAACTTCTTTTTTTAAGTTTGAATAACAGTTAATAACATAGAGGAAGGTAAAGTGATATTCATCAAACAACATTACTCATCATTCCCAATAAAACGTGTGCGTGAATATACTGTTCCTATCAAAGTTCAGTGAGTTAGAGGAATAGCACAACAATCTGAAGTCCAGGGTTCAAATCCAAGTCAAGCGCCCTTAAATTTTCACACTGAGAACACTGTTGTTGATTTGAATTCATTATTTTCATCTCTATTATTTTTTCATAAAGTCACACAAGGTACAGTTTTCTTTTCAGAAATGATTTATCGAAGCTATTGCCATGCCAGAAAAAACAGTTTCAAACGCAAAGTAACAATTTTTTGGCAGTGGTACGGGCATCCTTAAATGTGTTTTAATAGGAAATAGTCTTTATTGGTGTTGCCCTTGGGTCTCAAATTGGACCTGGCGGCTCAAGTGAAAGCTTTAAGATACTCTCACATGTCTATTAACATAGAGACTTGTCCTCTTACCTGAACAGTGGGACCTACATTCTCATCTTTCAGTTGGACCTGCCTTCTTACCTGAACAGTGGGCCACGCCCTCTCTTCTGAAATGTGGGTACTCCCTCTCATCTGAACAGTGGAACCTATCATTTCATCTGCTCAATGGGCCCTGCCTCTCACCTCAACAGAGGGACCTGCCTTTTAACCTAAACATGAAGACCTACTCTCTCACATGAACAGGAAGACCTACTCTCTCATCTGAACAGTGAGCCCTGCCTTACCCCTCAACAGAGGGACCTGCAGTTTAGCCTAAATTGGAAGACCTACTCTCTCACCTAAACAGTGGGCCCTGTCTCACACCTGAACAGTGGGACCTGCCCTCACACCTGAAAAGGAAGACCTACTCTCTCACCTGAACAGTGGGTCCTGCCTCACATCTCAACAGAAGGACCCGTCGTCTAACCTGAACAGACAGACATTCTCTCTCACCTGAACAGTGGGCCCTGCCCTCACACCTGAACAGGAAGACCTACTCTCTCACCTGAACAGTGGGCACTGCCCTCACACCTGAACAGTGGGTCCTGCCTCACATCTCAACAGAAGGACCTGCCATCTAACATGAATAAAGGGACGTACCCTCTTAACTGAACAGTGGGCCCTGTATCACACCTCAACAGAGGGACCTGCTGTCTAACATGAACAGTTGGACCTGCCCTCTCACCTCAACAGTGAGGCTTGCCTCACACCTGAACAGTGGGACCTGCTCTCTCAACTTAACAGTGGGGCTTGCCTCACACCTGAACAGTGGGCCCTGCCCTCTCACCTGAACAGTGTGACCTTCCCTCTCACCTCAACAGTGGGCCCTGCCCTCATATCTCAACAGAGGGACCTGCCCACTTACCTGAACAGTGAGACCTGCCCTCTCACCTGAACAGTGGGCCCTGCCTCACACCTGAACAGAGGGACCTGCCTCACACCTGAACAGAGGGACCTGCCGTCTAACCTGAACAGTGGGGCTTGCCTTCTCACCTGAATAATGGGACTGGACCCTCACACCTGAACAATGAAATATACCTTTCATATGAGTTTTAAAGTTGGAGTCTTCCCACTCACCTGAGAACTGACAGTGGGTAGTCTGAGATTGATCCAGCTGCTTGGTGTGGACTACCTTGCTCTCTTGATCTTCTATGAAATTAAAAATAGTATAGTTTCAAATATGAATTGACAATAGATGAATGATACCTTACAGTTGTTCCCGGAAGTTGGACACCGTGACTATATAGATCAAAGCTGTAAATGTATGTCTAGAGTAGATCACCTTCTGTTTTAAAGTTAATGTTAACAAAATGTAACCTACAAAGTGAGACATTTGTATTCATTTAAAGTCACATGTGAAGAAAAGGTATCATATTAACCTATTAAAGCTAGGTAACAAATCATCAGCAGGGCTAGAAATTAATGTTAAATACCATTCCTCAATTGGGGTAGTAGTTTCCCAATTTTACTAGGCCATGTGAGAATTCCACCAACCCAATACTACTCAACAAGATAAGCAATATCAATTTTTGACTCGTCCAATGGGCCAGCAGTTTATAGAACCACTAGTCAGGATGGAAATTTCACTAGTCCACAGCTATGAACCCTCCCTCATTATAAGGAAACGCCCTCATTTTGACCAAAGATTACCATTCCTCCTCGAAACTCCCTCATTCAAGTCCAAACTCACACAAACTCAAAATCTACATTCTCTGATCAAATGATCCCGAGTTAGTGCAGGGTGTGTGTAATGATCATAACAGGTGTGTCTGAATCAAATGAATGCTTTTTGGAGTTATTTTGATAAATAATTAAAAAGGGAAAGATAAATTGAGCAAAGCAGTTTATGTCACCTTTCACACACTTTCTCCCTCATTGGAAAAGAGGAATGATGGAGATCCCCCTCATTGGAGGTTTCAGAGGTTGACACCTATGCTAGTCTCAGACTATCAGACTAACCTTCTGGTCTAGCCCTGAATTAAGTGTATACTTATCTGACAGTTTATGTCGCCTTTCACACACTTTCTCCCTCATTGGAAAAGAGGAATAATGGAGATCTCCCTCATTGGAGGTTTCAGAGGTTGACACCTATGCTAGTCTCAGACTATTGGGCTAACCTTCTGGTCTAGCCCTGAATTCAGTGTATACTTGTCTGACAGTTTATCTAGCCCTGAATTCAGTGTATACTTATCTGACAGTTTATCTAGCCCTGAATTCAGTGTATACTTATCTGACAGTTTATCTAGCCCTGAATTCAGTGTATACTTGTCTGACAGTTTATCTAGCCCTGAATTCAGTGTATACTTGTCTGACAGTTTATCTAGCCCTGAATTCAGTGTATACTTATCTGACAGTTTATCTAGCCCTGAATTCAGTGTATACTTATCTGACAGTTTATCTAGCCCTGAATTCAGTGTATACTTGTCTGACAGTTTATCTAGCCCTGAATTCAGTGTATACTTGTCTGACAGTTTATCTAGCCCTGAATTCAGTGTATACTTATCTGACAGTTTATCTAGCCCTGAATTCAGTGTATACTTATCTGACAGTTTATCTAGCCCTGAATTCAGTGTATACTTGTCTGACAGTTTATCTAGCCCTGAATTCAGTGTATACTTGTCTGACAGTTTATCTAGCCCTGAATTCAGTGTATACTTATCTGACAGTTTATCTAGCCCTGAATTCAGTGTATACTTATCTGACAGTTTATCTAGCCCTGAATTCAGTGTATACTTATCTGACAGTTTATCTAGCCCTGAATTCAGTGAATACTTGTCTGACAGTTTATCTAGCCCTGAATTCAGTGTATACTTATCTGACAGTTTATGTAATAATACTGGTACCGTTACGTTAGGTCACAGTGCAGACTTTCTTGTTATTAAAACACAGTATTTACACAATAGGGATGCATTCAGAGAATGAAAATAAATTGTAAAGTATCAAATGATTACACAATGTACAAATACTTACCCAGCATTGGTAAAAGAGAAATCTGTTGGCCACGCCCAAAATTCAAAATCAAATTCTGATAGTTTTTTATTTCTCTCAGCCTGAAATCATAGAAGAAAAAGGTTTGAACTGTCCCAAACTCATGATATTAAATCCAATTCACAACAATGTCTCAACAGGATTATGATATTTTAAACCCATGAAATTTGGTTGATATTTATAAATATGAATACATGGTTATAGGATGGGGTCTCAAAAACTTTAAAGGAGCTGTCAGGACCCTAGAGGCAATCATGGTAGCATGAATGTATTTGACTAAGAAGAAGGCTAAGAATGTTACTAAGACAGAAGACTAAGCATGTTACGAAGAAAGAAGGTTAAGAATGTTACTATGAAAGAAGGCTAATATTGTTACTAATAAAGAAGGCTAAGAATGTTACTAAGAAAGAAGGCTAAGAATGTTACTATGAAAGAAGGTTAAGAATGTTACTATGAAAGAAGGCTAATATTGTTACTAATAAAGAAAGCTAAGAATGTTACTAATAAAGAAGGCTAAGAATGTTACTAAGACAGAAGGCTAAGAATGTTACTATGAAAGAAGGCTAAGATTGTTACTAACTAGAACACTAACAGGTCAGTAAGGGCCCCGTCTTTTGGCAATATATCCCCCATAATCATCAAGAAGCAATCTGCCCATATAGCTGAGCTTGGCGTTTGACATTTGAACTTCCAAAAGAATCGCAAGGAAGCAAAATATACATTTTACTTGTACTATGATGTGAGTCTTGTTTCCATCCACCTCCATATTTGCTTGGCTAACAGAAATGTAAATACCGGTGCAATACTCATTTGTTAGCTTTGATTTGTTTTATTTCACCTTATATCCCTCCTCCATCAAGAGCCAGGGTCAAAGTCAGAGATCCACTTTGTCTTTGACCTTTACCATTAAACCAATGACCCTGATCTTTGGTCAGTTGACTTATTCTTTAATTCCGACCAACTTTGCTTCTTAATATCATAACAAAATGTTCTTCAGTGAAAAATACAAAACTTGACCTTGACCTTTGGACCGCGTAACCTGGCCCTAAGGTCAGTTGACTCTGTGTTAAGTTCTGAACAACATTGCTTCATAATGTCATAACAAAATGTTCATCAGGGAAAAGGTACAAAATTTAACCTTCACCTTTGACCCAGTGACCTTGACCTTTGGTCAATTGACTCCTTGTTAATTCTGAGCAACATTGCTTTAAAGTGTCATAGCGAAGTGTTCACCAGTGAAAAGATACAAAATTTAACCTTGACCTTTGACCCAATGACCTTGACCTTTGGTCAGTTGACTCCTTGTTTAATTCTGATCAACTTTGCTTCATGTCATAACAAAATGTTCATCAGTGAAAAGATGCCAAATTTGACCTTGACATTTGATTATAATGACCTTGACCTATGACCTCGACTTTTTACCTCAGTGTGTCTCTTTGTTTAATTCCGAACAACTTTGCTTCATATTGTCATAGCGAAATGTTCACCAGTGAAAAGCTACAAAATTTGACCTTGACCCCTGTCCCAATGACCTTGACCTTTGGTCAGTTGACTCCTTGTTTATCAGCCAGGAACAAAATTTGTGGACAGACAGACAGACAGACAAGGTGATTACTATAGGGCACCCGTATCTCCGATACGGGGCCCTAATAAAGAAGCTAAGATTGTTACTAATAAAGAAGGCTAAGAATGTTACTAAGACAGAAGGCTAAGATTGTTACTAATAAAGAAGGCTAAGATTGTTACTAAGAAAGAAGGCTAAGAATGTTACTATGAAAGAAGGCTAAGATTGTTACTAATAAAGAAGTCTAAGAATGTTACTAAGAAATAAGGCTAAGATTGTTACTAAGAAAGAAGGCTTAGAATGTTACTTTACCTGGTTTTGTATTGTAGAAGCCATAGTAAGGATTTGTATAAAGGTGATATAATCCGTATTGCATGATCGGCCTAATCCTGTAAAAGAGAATAACTTTAGTAATGGATATTATTAGTTTTCTCTGGGTCAGGCCGGGTCTACGGGTTCATAGACCTCGTCTAGTCTATAAAGACCAAAGGGGTCTATGAGCCCGTAGACCCTGCCTAACCCGGAGATAACGAATTTGTCACCCTTAAAATCTTTTATTACTTTTTTTTCTGCAAAATTATAAGTCACTTTGTGTGAGTTTGAGTTGTACTTGACTGCTACCAAAATAGCCCCTACCGGACACCGTTTCGGCAATAATTGCAGACAATACACAACCATCTTTGTAATTACCGGTAGCACCCTAGTGGCCTCCTCATTGCCTGCTTCATTGAATTTGCTGTTGTTTTAGATTACTTGTAGGCTATTTAATTCTGTGAATAATTGGCAAACCTCGAATGCTTGAGTGTGTCGGACCCCATCTTTGTTGTTATGAAGAGAGATTCTAGTTTGAGTTAATTTTTATAGACCCCGGGTCTCTAGAAATATAGACCCGGCAATATATCCAATCAGAAAGAGTGTTACAAATTAGAAGGCTGACAATAAGTTATAAACGTATTTGGAGAAACAATAGCCATTTCTGCTCTTACCATTCTACATGTTATGTCTCCTTATATGATCAGAGTATCCCGCCGATCTGATCATCATACTTACTTTCCATTACCCCTTATATTGTCCCAACTTGAGATAATGTTTTAATGCTGCAGGTCGAAACCTGCCTCCACTGCTATATGTACACAATGGCCTAGAAAGTTAGCTGCTGACACAGGTAATAATTCAGACCAACGATATCAACAAGTTTAACGGACTTCCCATTGTTTTTAAGTAAAATCATATACATAATTTGTCTCAAATGCTTACTTGTTTCAAATGGTAATAAGTCAAACACACATGTAAACCTTTTAGATGATTAAGATCTACTAACTACAAATTAATTAATTGTAAATAGTTTCCAGGGATTTTTCTATTTTCACAAAATTTGGAGAAAATATGTTTCCTTTCACTGAACACAACAATAAGAGCACAATAGTTTGTTTTCAAAATACTATACATGTACAGAAAAAGTTGGATTTTTGTATGTTTTCAACAAGTTGTGAAGTTGTTGACCATACAAATTAAGAAAATACAAGACAAAATTGGGAAAATAATAGATTACCCAGTATTTTTTTAGGCCCATAATATACCCGAGAATTGCTGGTTTAGCCTCTGGATTCTGCAACAACGATTTGAGTTCTTACCTCTCAACAACCAGGCTAACAAGTAGATGACACTGATAGAGCAGCCAAACTTTCCCAGACTGACTAAACCGTCCACACAGAAGTAACCTGAGAGGAAAAACATACCTTGTATACACAACGGTTACATTTTCAAAACAAAAACAAAAGTTATTTTAAAAACTTGCTCGAAAAATGCAAGAGATATTTAACTAGCACACTTCTTTGATACGCGAAGAAAGGATGATTTTCATTGACAACCTCTCAAAATTGATCTGAACGACGTTTCTACAGTCATCTTTGGTTATACTACGGTCACCAGCTTGTAATCCTTGTTACTCCAGGAGTTACATTCACTTCATTCTCTGCACCCCTGGACTAAGTCATAGAGAAATTGAATGTTCAGTGTGAACCACCTTGTGGATGAGACAAGAAGACTAGTCCGATCCTTTAATATACATCGAAAGAATCTCGCGGTTGCGTAACGGTAAAATTGACTGGCTTTGAAGTTGGGTGTCACTCCTCTGTCATCTTCAAAGGGCAGGTATTAGCCAAGCAATTGGTCGGATTATTTTTACCCAAGACCAATAGCTAGCAATGTGCCTTCAGTTTCGCTATGACACATTCCAGGGATGCAGAAAGCGAAAGTGAGCATAACCCCTGGGTCCCTATTCATCCAACCGTTCTCATGCTCAAGTATGGATTCTGCGCTCAAACCAACTTCCTTGTAACTCAATTAAATCATGTCAAATGATCAAAAAGTCAAATGAAAACACTGAAAACAGTATTCGGCTTTAAGTCTCATCAATATTTTTTCCAAATCCTTGAAAAAATAGCATTTTATAATGTATTCATAGCCGAAACAAGAAATAAGGTTTAGCACAAATCCATGCTTGAGCATGAGAACGGTAATAAGGGCCCTGGAGTATCGAGGATACCAGTTTGTATACTCACTTCTGAAGTACAACATTGACCAGTTTGTAGTACCAAGCTCTTCTGTACATTTACACTGACCAGTCCCTATAAGACTGACCATGTGCTACTCACCTCTTCTGTACATAAGGGACAGCACGACAGGGGACGTCCAGTAGGAGAATGAGAAACAGAACCTCATCTGTAACAATCAACATATATCTATTAATATAGTTATATATTACAGGAATCTATATCAATCAACATATATCTATCATATAGTTATATATTACAGGAATCTATATCAATCAATATAGTTATATATTACATGAATCTATATCAATCAACATATATCTATTAATATAGTTATATATTACAGGAATCTATATCAATCAACATATATCTATTACTATAGTTATATATTCCCGGAATCTGTATCAATCAACATATATCTATCAATATAGTCATATATTACAGGAATCTATATCAATCAACATATATCTATCAATATAGATATATATTACAGGAATCTATATCAATCAACATATATCTATCATATAGATATATATTACAGGAATCTATATCAATCAACATATATCTATCAATATAGTTACATATTATAGGGATCTATATCAGTTTCAGATGATAATGATGGAAAAAGTCAAAGACTGCTTCACTGAAATAACAAGTTCCAGAAAGAATATGCCCTTTTCTGACTATAAGACATGAGTATTCACATAGAAACACATGAGCTTGTATTCATGAAACCGTTCTCACGCTCAAGCATGTATTTTGTGCTCAAGCCTTATTTCTTGTTGCGTTTATAAAGTAATAATGAAATCTTATGTTGTCAATGATTTGGAAAAACATTGAAGAGACTAAAAGCCAAATACTGTTTTCAATGTTTACATTTAACTTTCTGATAATTTTACATGATTTAAGCGAGTTACAAGAAAGTTGGTTTGAGCACAAAATCCATGCTTGAGCATGAGAAAGGTTTCATGAACACAGGCCCTGATTTTTTAAACAATATTTAGAAAATAATTATTATAGTTCATCAGGTGCTTTAAACCATTAATTTAAAAGACATCATTATCTTACCAACAGGTTCCTGATAGGTTTGACAGCAGCTCTTCTTACAACAGCCATGCATATGACTCACCACACTGATGAACTTGTGACCAAGATAATGTTTGACTCCCCGCACTGATGAACTTGTGACCAAGATAATAATTGACTCATCACACTGATGAACTTGTGACCAAGATAATGTTTGACTCATCACACTGATGAACTTTTGACCAAGATAATGTTTGACTCACCACACTGATGAACTTTTGACCAAGATAATAATTGACTCACCACACTGATGAACTTGTGACCCTTGTTGCATTTAACTCACCACACTGATGAACCTATGACCCTTGTTACATTTAACTCACCACACTGATGAACTTGTTACCAAGATAATAATTGACTCACCACACTGATGAACTTGTGACCAAGATAATGTTTGACTCATCACACTGATGAACTTTTGACCAAGATAATAATTGACTCACCACACTGATGAACTTGTGACCCTTGTTACATTTAACTCACCACACTGATGAACCTATGACCCTTGTTACATTTAACTCACCACACTGATGAACTTGTTACCCGTAGATTCCATTATGTTTGGGTTGTAGATTTGGGCCTGCAATAACAGCAAAATGAGAAAAAAATCAAATGATGTTACAAGATAAATTTTATAAAAATGTTGAATTTTATTTTGTATGTTATTATGATTTCTGTCATTTATTTCCCATTTCTACGATTTAGAGTGAAAAGCAACTAAAGCATGCAAGTATTTATCAATCTGTATGACTTTTTAAAGATACTGTCTAGTCATGTGTCTGGTATCTTAATATGTAAAGGTTCTGTTTCACAATCAATATGCGGTATACTGGGAAATTTTCACTGCAGTTAAACTTTTGCCCTGCACCATGAGGACCAATTTATCAAATTATCATTCCAGCAAATATCAGCAAACAATGTTATAAAGTAATTAAATGCGAAACCCAAAATGAATACTTGGCAAATATGGATTTCAATGGTGAAGGGTTAAAGCTTCCCGATATACAGTATACAATATCACCATAATGATCAGTTTATGTTCCAAGACAGTTGATATGATTACAGCTAGTACAAGAAATGTGTTTTATTGTCAGATGTAAATACGCCTAGGTGAGGCTGATGTGTGTGTAAGTACTCGTCATGTCACAGGAGCTAAGCCCATTTAATAGAGACCCCCACCTCTTTGGAAAAGCTGTTCAGTGCTTTCAGGTGGATTAAGAAAGGAATTTTTAGCTTAAAATACTTTATTTTTGGTATTCTTTTCCAGGGATACATAATTATAATGATCATTCAAAGCCTGTTCTGTATCAGCTGTGGGAATTTAGGTGAACATTTTAAGTTAAAAAGGCCAAGTTAAGATGAAACCTCTTATTATTTTAGTCATATATAGGAGATAGTTGAAGCACTTTGCATTTATTAATAGTTTTTTTTACATCGTACCGAAGCATGCAGCACTCCATAAGGGGATTTGGAAAGAAGGAGGGGATGGTGTGTGTTCCATCCTACTTCATGGGCTTTTAAATGGTCTCCCTAAGGCCATTACTCGGTCATGCCACTATGCTGCATGCAAAAAAAATGACTTAAATTAGACTAAATTATATCAGGAAAATGGTACAATAAATGATAATAAAAAGTATTTATTAGGATTCTATTATTTGTCTTCATTGCAAAATGGAATGCACAAATAATTATTTATATTTGAGAAAAAAACAAAACGATGATGTGCTAGCCCAGGCTTTTTTGCTGCATATAATAGTTACATGCAACTTGGGTACATATCTGCTAACTTCAGTTAACAACTGGCAGACAATAATGTAAACCAAAGTCTGTCATTAAATAAATACATTTTTTATCAGGGATTTTTATCCGATTGTATGCCTAACTTTAACTAGCAGCTGAACGACGGCATACATGCCAACTCTCCCTATTTACGAGGGAGACTCGAGATTTTGGACCCTGAAGTTTAGCCTTTTGAACCAGTGAATAGCTTATAAACTATTCCTATATTCTAAGGTCTATTGATTTCATCTGAAATAACAACTCAAACTATGTCATTTTCAAGGTATTTTTTTGTCTCTAGGGGGTAATACACACATTGTATTTATGTTTTAATTTTGAGCATGCAAAATCTACCCCATGGAAATTTTGAAAAGTCGTCGGATGGTGCCCTTACCAGGTCCAGTGTACATTCTGATGATTGAGCTATTTAGCTTTAAAGACTTATATATCTATATCAATCTATAATTCATTATCTACACTTGTATACATGTAACAGGAGTGGAAAAATATGTCAGACCAGGGTTCAAACTTTGGACTACCTGAACTCTAAACAGACGCTCTACCAATCAAGTTACCTGGTCGCTGACGATTGAACAAGTGCAGCCCCGAAAACACAACTACTAATTAAAACCCAGGTAAATCGAGTTTCCCCTTGTCAATCATTCACCCGTATGTAAAGGAAGCGGAAAAATGCATAAAGCTCTAGGGTTTATGGTGATGTTGACTACGAAAAGCATACAGTTAGAAGTATTTTTTTTATTTTTCATAACTGTGAAATTCCTGAGTTTATTTACATATTTGATATCTTTTTTAGTCAAAATTAATAGTGATAAAGTGTTCTTTTGATGTGATTTGAAAGATAATTACTAAAAGGGCCTATTTCAGATATGTTGATAAACTATTAAAGGTTTTGTTTACAGCTATACGGTATAGTCTGCAGTTTACTGGTCCTGCTCAAAGGAAACCAAATCGGACTAAACCCACTTTCACTTCCTTCTACAGTGAAAACCTGATTGTTGCATCACCTGTCTGTTTTCATTTTTGTGCCTCCGAAATAATTTCGGACCCCTAAGGCACCGATAGAGATCCAATAAAGATGGCATCGTCCCTCGATAGCCTCAAGGTTGCACAAATGAACTGTTTCTTCGGTACGATGACGAGTTCATCGGTGACTTCTATTTGTGTTGTACGAAGGCATTCGAACTTCTCGGACTTATTTGATCGAATGGAAACACAAACGCATCATAGTTGTTAAAATGTTTTATGGAAGGTAATTAAAGAAATCTATAGTAAAGCACAAAACTGACCGAGGTTTCATTTGGACCCATGTGTTGCTTGGAAAAATCCAGAATATTGCTGATTATAGACCGTAGGAGGGTATAGTGTGGTGTAAAACAGACGCCGACGATAGCATACAACTAAGCCTATTTCATATCCAAAAGAAAGTCATGAGTACGGAAGAGGTAAGCTTGATGTAGTTTAAATGTTTTACAGACAATGACACTAAAATGAGCCAAATAACTCCAAAACATAAATTGTACTATCATTTTCGTTTCATTTCCTATTAAACAAAGGATAGGCAACACCTAAGTACAACAAACTTAACATATTATTAAGTAGTGCTGGGAGTCGGTCCGATTTTGAAGATCGATTATCGGACATTCAACAGGTCCAGTACACTGTGCCGATTGAGCTATACGTATAGCTGTAATCGGTGGTAGGTAAATCTTGTACCCCGTTCCCGGACGTGGACTGAAACCCCGAACATAAAGATATTTTAATATCTCATTAACGCGATCGTATTTTTGTAAAAAATATACAATAATTTCAAACATTATTTTCTAAATGTGACAGTTATAAAAATGTTTTATTTGTTACCTATTAATTTAGAAATCAACGTTTAAATGTGTATTTCAAGCGAGTAAAACTTGTACGCCGCAGTCAACCGTGAAAATCACGGTTTTTCACATATAATTAGAAATGTAGGGAAAATTAACATTAAATTTTCAGATATATAGAAGAAAATACCTTACTGTTTTTAATTATGAAATTTTCTTTGAAGTAAACGACATATTTCACATGAAATTCTGACTTTGTTGTGATCGCAGGAGTTTTGTTTACTCCCATACCCATGCTATGGGGACATCACTCCGACAAGACTCGTGCTAAATATGCATAATATGTAAAGCATTTCCAAGCTCGATTTAATCAATGTTTCTGGACAATGGTTTATCTGCTAATTTTCACAGGTTTTGTAAAGGCCTTGTAAATATTAGTAAAGGCTTGCATGAAAGCAACATAAAACCATTAAAATATTCTGGTCCAATTGGACAGTTCGGACCAGAGCTATGTGATACGTTTATGAAATAGGGATGGACAAAATGATATATAATTGTAGTAAGACGAGTAATAGAGATAAAGATAGTGCCATCGCTGGGGCTCGAACCCGCGACCCGTCACTCTCCAAATAACCTAATCAAAGCACATCTTTTGCACTATTCCTCCAATTTTTTCAAACACCAACCCTGGCTCTTTGACTCCGCACCAAGGTTTCTCCTACCTTGAACGGAGAGGGTCAACGGCTCATTTGTAGGGCAAATGCGTGAGCTTATACCAGGTTGGCATTCATCTGACATCCCTCTGGTATCCTCCTTGATATCCAGGGGTTATGCTCACTTTTGCTCTCTGCACCCCTGGAATATTTTAAAGCAAAATTGAAGGCATGCGGCTAGCTTTTCTTCGATTGGTCTACGCTAAAAAAATCCTGACCATATTTTCATATTAAAGGGGCCAAAAACAGCTTAATTGTACTTGGTTAATTTTTTGAGGCTTGAGGTTAAAGTTTTGGGCAAATTGTTTTGTGAAGTGTTGGACCAGCACCATCAACAGGCTGTTGTCTGTTATAAGGTTGAAGTATATATATGGAGTATTAGCAATGTGCTGAACCATATTTCCAGCCCACCATCAAATCACCCTGCGTTCTTGGTTCGTCGTTTGTCCATCATTCCTTCTGTCCTTAAACAGTTCTTGTTAGCTCTATTTCTCATATTTCTCAGAAAGTATGGAAAGGATATTTCCAAAACTTAATATGAAGGTTCCCCATGGTCCCTAGTTATGCATATACAATTTTGGGACTGATCGAAAAACCATGATGGCGAATAGGCACCATTTTGAATCGTTTGAGTAAAAGATTGTTAGCCCTATTTCTCAGGAACTACTGTAGGAATCTTTCTCAAATTTCACATGAAGGTTTCCCATGATCCGTAGTTATGCATATCTAATTTTGATACTGATTGGAAAACCAAGATGGTAGATAGGCGCCATCTTGAATTTATTGAGTAAAAGTTTGTTAGCACTATTTTTCAGAAATTGCCTCATGGATCTTTCTCATATTTCACATGAAAGCTCTCCATGGTTATAAGTTTTGCATATCGATATTTGACACTAATCGGATAAACAAAATGGTCGACAGGCAGCCATCTTAGATTTTGACATTGAAAGTTTGTTATCTCTGTTTTTCAGAAAGTACTGGATGGATCTTTCTCAAGTTGTATGTTTGTTCCCCTTGGTCTGTACTTGTGTATGTTTACTTTTGAGACTGATCGGATAAGCGAAATGGCTGACCAGCATCCATCTTAAATTTTGACAGTGTATTTGTTATTGCTATTTCTCAGAATGTCTTGGATGGATCTTTCTCAAATTTGTTATGTAGGTTCCCCTTGGTCATTTATTGTGCATGTTTACTTTGTGACTGATGGATAAACAACATTTTTGACAGGTGGCCACCTTGTATTTTGGAATAACAAAGAACCTAGGGCAAGTAGCATGCTAGATGAAGGTCTATCAAGATTTTTCAAATGAATGACCTAAGGTCACAGGGGTCAATTAGAGAATCAAATGGAAAATTAAAATATTTGATGGATGGAAATTTTCAGTGATATACTTGATCAAAGATGCTTGATAAGGTATTGTATTGGTGAGTACCACGTAACTTCTGATTCCTTTATAATGACAAACATCTAATGTAAGATCTGTTTCTTTTTCAAGTTAAAGAAAGATGCAGCAGAATTGCAGGGTTTCCTCGAGAATGCAAGCCGTCCCAGAGTAAAAGATATTTTAACACTGGAACTCCGAAAGATACAAACAGATATTATCAACAAAGAGGAAAGAAACAGTACCAGTGGAGTTGGCAAGGAAACAGATACAGCTAAGCCAACAACAGAAGGACTCAAGACCAAACAGCCTCGTTCTGTATCTTATATACAGGAAAAAAATTACGGTAAACTATATTCTGATAGCATAATAGCAGCAAGATCCAGTACATGATCATATAATAATATGTTTTATTATTATGATATCATATGAAGATAATATAAATTCGGATTCTATATATTAAATATACGATCATATTTAGGACTTTTCACTAAAATGTGAAAAGACCTATTGTTTTTGTTATGTAATTTATTATTATTATTCTGCACAAATCTTGTCACAGCATACTCCTAAATGACAGCAGGTATATGCTTGATATTTTGACATGTTGTAGGTCATGATCTGGAGATGCCATTGAAGTATTCAACTTCATCAAAAATTCAATATGGCCGTCATGACCTATAAAGTTTTTAATCTTTTTTAAAACAGTTCTATCTCCTTAACTATAAATGGTACTGTGTTTTTGTTATAATATACTGATAGAGTGTGGTTGGGGCTAAATTTGACCCATGCCATGTAATGAGGTAAAGGTCAAGTTTAAATTCTTGCCATGAGGTCAAAGGTCACCTATTTTCATTTTTTTTGGAAAAGTTCTTTTTGTAATCGTCCACCCGATCAATTTGATGTATTAATTTTTTCTGCAACATTTTCCGTTAACTTTTGAAACGTTTGAAACGTTTGAAAACCGACAATATTTTTACAAACTTCAACGATCTTCTTCTCCAATTCTGCCATTGCAATATTAACCACAATTGGTACATGTATTTCTCTGGGGGCCCTTACAAACTTATGTTACTTTTTGGAGCAATTAATATTCTAAGATGGCTGCCACGAACTCTGATTGGTTAACAGCCTATACCAATATATTTCGTAACGATATCAAGCACGAGGTTGATCTTTAGATATCATAGAGATAAGCAACAGCAAACTTTTTCTTTCATACTGTTTTTAACAAAAATGTCAACCTCCGGTTTTCGATATGGGGTCAAAGTTTGAATGTGTAATTTTGTGAAACAAACTTCAAAAAATTCTTCTCAATAACCAAATGACCCAAGGTCATAATATTTATCCAATATTTATGCTCAAGCAATGGACTATCAAGTTTGATAATATGAATGACCTTGACCCATGTTCCAGGTCACTGGGGTCAATTATGTTAAAATCTTCAAAAGACTCCTTCTCAATAACGGAAATGCCCAGGGTATTGATATTTGGTCTGTAGCACAATTGCTAGGATGATGGGCTACAAGGTTTATGGACATTAATTGCCATCAAAGATCAACTTCCGGTATTCGGTAGAGATCAAATTTGAACATGTAATATATTGTGACTAATTTCAAAACCAGAACTTTTACTACTGGTGGAAGGGAAGTAACTCATACTATTTACGAGTTACTTCCCTTCCACCAGTAGTAAAAGTCCTGGTAGAATCGTTCACCTACAAAAATATAACCCAAAGCAAAAGTTAAACACCTTTTTTGTTCTACTATTTTGGAGATTTGCTAAAATTTCTGAACTTAATTTATCTTTTAATCAAGTTTCAACATTTCAAAATTTAAAATCTTTACCTCAATGGTGTGATATAGGTGAAACTTGAACTCAATATATATACCTACCAAAGAATATGAAGTTGATTTTTCCATAAATTTCCCAGTTGGCATATAAATATATGTCAGCTAATTAGTGTTGGAAGTTGTTCCTTTTATAGATTGTATTCAAGTTTCAGATTGAAGAACATGTCTTTATGTGTATTGTCACTTTAAGGTGGTAATCCATACAAACCAACTATTTATCTGATCAGGATGATGTCGCACAATCTCAATGCTTGATGATGTCACATCAAAAAGTGTCAAAATCGCTCTGAATGTAAATATAATGATTGAATCCTGTACTGTTGAGGTATGGGTCTTGAGATAAATGTAATTAGCTGCAAAACAGTTCAAATAAAATTTATACAGTATATACTATACTCGCAGTACAAACATATAGCAATTTCAGAAGATATCTACAAAAATCAATTATCAAATGAAGTGATTATCTCTTTTCTAACAAAAAGTTGATGTGTCATTTCAGCATGGGATCAGTCGGAGAAATTTATGAAAATCTACGCTCAGTTGCCTGATGTCCAAAGTTTAGCCACAGATAAAATCACATGTGATTTTACTGACAGGTTGGTATTGTAGAGACTCAACTTAATTTCTTACACAGAAGGAGAAGGATTTTTGAAGTTTAACAAATATTTTTCCTATTGGGTCTGGCCTCTCTGCCTCCAGGGGCAACCACAACCTGTGTTATATGTTGTATAACATATTGAGTCCCTTTGGCCCAAGGATGCTAAGTGCTGAGTTAGATTACAGATTGTGTATACTGTAGTAGCAGAAGTTTTAAAATTTTCAACTTTTTTTTGCTATTTGGAAACTTTCTGGCCAGGGGGTGGGGCAAAACCTATGTAAGTACAAGATAGAGTTCCCTCAGCCCAAGCACGCTCAAGTCTTTATTTTTGACGGGATAAATATAATTTTCTTCTATTCTGCAGATCAATACGACTGCAAGTAAGAGAATTGAAAAACAAGAACCATCAGTGGCACGTAGCAAACCTTATGGAGGAAATCGTCCCAGAGGAGAGCTACTTCAAGGTAAGTGTTAATTTACTATTATGGAAATGGTTGAAACTGAATACAATAAAACCTTGAAATTGAACCTTAATATGTATCGCTTAATATAATGAAGGATTACATATATGTAATACTCTCTTGGTTGTCATTTTAACATTTATCTTTTTTGTTTGTTTTAAAATGAATAATAAAACTTCATAATTTTATAAGGTTTTACATAATTATTGTAAATATTCAAATTCACATACATAGTGTACATAGTCCCAGTTGTACAAATTACACAATCAGTGTACATAGTCCCAGTTGTACAAATTACACAATCAGTGTACATAGTCCCAGTTGTACAAATTACACAATCAGTGTACATAGTCCCAGTTGTACAAATTACACAATCAGTGTACATAGTCCCAGTTGTACAAATTACACAATCAGTGTACATAGTCCCAGTTGTACAAATTACACAATCAGTGTACATAGTCCCAGTTGTACAAATTACACAATCAGTGTACATAGTCCCAGTTGTACAAATTACACAATCAGTGTACATAGTCCCAGTTGTACAAATTACACAATCAGTGTACATAGTCCCAGTTGTACAAATTACACAATCAGTGTACATAGTCCCAGTTGTACAAATTACACAATCAGTGTACATAGTCCCAGTTGTACAAATTACACAATCAGTGTACATAGTCCCAGTTGTACAAATTACACAATCAGTGTACATAGTCCCAGTTGTACAAATTACACAATCAGTGTACATAGTCCCAGTTGTACAAATTACACAATCAGTGTACATAGTCCCAGTTGTACAAATTACACAATCAGTGTACATAGTCCCAGTTGTACAAATTACACAATCAGTGTACATAGTCCCAGTTGTACAAATTACACAATCAGTGTACATAGTCCCAGTTGTACAAATTACACAATCAGTGTACATAGTCCCAGTTGTACAAATTACACAATCAGTGTACATAGTCCCAGTTGTACAAATTACACAATCAGTGTACATAGTCCCAGTTGTACAAATTACACAATCAGTGTACATAGTCCCAGTTGTACAAATTACACAATCAGTGTACATAGTCCCAGTTGTACAAATTACACAATCAGTGTACATAGTCCCAGTTGTACAAATTACACAATCAGTGTACATAGTCCCAGTTGTACAAATTACACAATCAGTGTACATAGTCCCAGTTGTACAAATTACACAATCAGTGTACATAGTCCCAGTTGTACAAATTACACAATCAGTGTACATAGTCCCAGTTGTACAAATTACACAATCAGTGTACATAGTCCCAGTTGTACAAATTACACAATCAGTGTACATAGTCCCAGTTGTACAAATTACACAATCAGTGTACATAGTCCCAGTTGTACAAATTACACAATCAGTGTACATAGTCCCAGTTGTACAAATTACACAATCAGTGTACATAGTCCCAGTTGTACAAATTACACAATCAGTGTACATAGTCCCAGTTGTACAAATTACACAATCAGTGTACATAGTCCCAGTTGTACAAATTACACAATCAGTGTACATAGTCCCAGTTGTACAAATTACACAATCAGTGTACATAGTCCCAGTTGTACAAATTACACAATCAGTGTACATAGTCCCAGTTGTACAAATTACACAATCAGTGTACATAGTCCCAGTTGTACAAATTACACAATCAGTGTACATAGTCCCAGTTGTACAAATTACACAATCAGTGTACATAGTCCCAGTTGTACAAATTACACAATCAGTGTACATAGTCCCAGTTGTACAAATTACACAATCAGTGTACATAGTCCCAGTTGTACAAATTACACAATCAGTGTACATAGTCCCAGTTGTACAAATTACACAATCAGTGTACATAGTCCCAGTTGTACAAATTACACAATCAGTGTACATAGTCCCAGTTGTACAAATTACACAATCAGTGTACATAGTCCCAGTTGTACAAATTACACAATCAGTGTACATAGTCCCAGTTGTACAAATTACACAATCAGTGTACATAGTCCCAGTTGTACAAATTACACAATCAGTGTACATAGTCCCAGTTGTACAAATTACACAATCAGTGTACATAGTCCCAGTTGTACAAATTACACAATCAGTGTACATAGTCCCAGTTGTACAAATTACACAATCAGTGTACATAGTCCCAGTTGTACAAATTACACAATCAGTGTACATAGTCCCAGTTGTACAAATTACACAATCAGTGTACATAGTCCCAGTTGTACAAATTACACAATCAGTGTACATAGTCCCAGTTGTACAAATTACACAATCAGTGTACATAGTCCCAGTTGTACAAATTACACAATCAGTGTACATAGTCCCAGTTGTACAAATTACACAATCAGTGTACATAGTCCCAGTTGTACAAATTACACAATCAGTGTACATAGTCCCAGTTGAATATATATTATACATCAATTGAAAATAATGCCATGATGCTAAACATCAGTCTACTAAAAATCGAATTGTCATTTCATTGACACCGGCTTCCTATTCAAATGGTGTGTTACAGTTGAATTAAAAGACTGGAGTCTGCTTGTTGTTTAAACCATTCACCACTATCTATAGACAATAATGGACACATCCATATCAATGCATGGTAGAGGCTACTTAAGTTACATAGGGGTGAAAAGGTTATATGTTCCTCCAATCCATATTTTCGGTGTCACATTTTTGGTTTTAAGGTAAAGTGTACCACTGCATCAGTATAACTTGTAAAGAAAAGTTCCAATCAGAGTATTTTCGACTTGGAATAATCTCCCTTTTATATTGAAAATGAGATAACCTAAATAAGATTTTCTGACTTTGAATAACTTCCCATGTCAAGTTTTCATTTGCTCTATGGCCTATACATTTGAAACTGTGCTTTTATAATTCCTATATGGGTAACGTGTATGCGTTGCAATGCAAAGGTTCCGAGTTTGGTCCCTGAAGTTTTCTTTTCTGTTTCTATTTTCAACCACTCAAATTTGGAACAACTACAACTCTGTAAAACGATGGTAACAGTTGATTTTAATGGAATATATCTTTTGGAAATGACTTAAACGAATATTTTGCAATGGTGACAATGGTAATAATATAGTTTAACATGGCGATTCCCTTTACTCTAAAGCAAAGGTTAATCTTGTCCAGGAAAACATGCTATGTTAAAGATATGTTTTGCTTTTTGTGTAGGTGAAAACAAACAGCGTTCTAGTGATGTTGAAGAAAAAAGCAGTCAAGACTTGGCCCTATGTTACAGAACGGGAGAAAAAGGCGTCTGACAATAAAAAGTAGGTTTTTAGCTTACCTTGCCCAAAGGGTCATGTGAGCTTATGTCTTAGTGCAGCATCCGTCTGTCCGGTGTTAACCTTTTGCTTTAAATTCATTCTTCCAAATAAACAATAGGCCTAGGGTCGTGATATTTGGCCAGTAATATGCTTGGATGAAGGGCTATCAAGTTTGACCTTGACCCATATTGAAGGTCACTGATGTTGGATAAATAACAGGTGATTGGTACAGGCCCATTGGGCATCTTGTTTTTTAATGACAACCTATTGTTATTAATGGAACCCTATTTAATGTTATGTTCCATACACATTTAATTGGATTGTTCACTTTTATAATAACACACTTTATAAGGATTTTTCATTGTCATCACAAAAAGACCAGAAAAGTGGTCAACTGGGCTGCTTTCGTTTATCACAATTCAAACGATTGAACCGGTGCGACCATTGTTATTGGTTTAGGAAATAAGTTTGGACCTAGTAATCTGATGCTGTTTTCAGGCGAGCTTTCACAAAGCCTTACAAGGCCTGCATATACCTGAAAATGTTACATTTAAAAACAGATGCACCAGTTGTTCTGCATAAACGAACAGGACCCTGGTGTCTCATATAGCTATTGCATTGTAATAATTGAAATGTCACAGTAGAACAACATTTTGTTGTGAAATATTCAAATTTTAATGACATTGATTGTTCTAGTACTTATACAGTTTTTGTAGATATTTTTATAAAATCGTTGACTAAGGTGATTTTTGTAAATCATTAATCTGGCTTTTTAAAATTAGTAAACAATGTGTAAAAAAGTACTAATTTGTTTTGTAGACCCAAGGCGGATGAAAGCAAAGACCCAAACGACTCCCTTATGGACATGATGAAACAGATGTATGATGACGGAGACGACGAAATGAAAAAGAACATCACCAAAGCCTGGTCGGAATCTCGCAACAAGCAGAGCGTCATGTAATCTGTAGGCGGTCTAGTTCTGATGCTTCAGCGGGGCGTCCTGATAGTGGCTCATTTAGATAGTGGCCGGACTCTTGACAATGTTTATGTATAATATGTGAAGTGTCCAATGAAATACAAACATTTAAAGTCAACTGTTGTGCAGTTAACTCAGTTTGAGAACATTTTGTTGTGTGAAACATGTACAGATACACAGCAAATTTTGTGACTAATGAAACCTGATTTTTTTCAAGATGGATAATTTCCCTTTTCATTGAACAAAATTAATGTGGAAGTGATATATGTGATGTCATCCATATCATGTCCATAACAGAATTTAATCTTAACAGATGACCAAAACATATTAGAACAAATATAATTTTATTCCAATGTCAATTAGTGTATTGCTTATTTATCCTGTTAATATGCTTGATAATCTTGTTCATCTTACTTCATTTTAACATACTCAGAATATGTCTGTTACAATTTGTCATTTGTTGATGATAGGTTTTTAAGTAACCCGTCATGTAGCTGTGCCGAAGGTTAATGTGACCTAGGCTTTTTGCCATCCATTTCCCTCATTCACTGTGTCTTTTTGTCTTTTAACACTGTGTCTTTTTGTCTTTTAACATTTTGATATTTAGAACGTTTCAAAAAACTAACTGGTAGATTTCAACTAAACTTGGCAGAAACCATGATCAGGGATGGGCATCAGAGGTCCAAAGAAATTTGTATTGATTGATTTTCCTCCAAAAATGAGTTGTGTACAAATGCAGTCGGACCATTACAGATGTCAATACCTACAAGTTGTCGGTCTTATTTTTGACATTCATATTCTATTGAACGTACATTGTATTATCATTACCGTATTGTCCACAATACTAGAGGTCACAACAAGTAACTTGTCAAGAAAAGATTTTGAGTTCAAGTTAGAAAAAAAACCTTTTCAAATCAGGTTATACATTCTTGGAATAACCTGCCGTCATCATTGATCAATGCTCAGACAATCAATGTGTTTAAGTGTAGACTGAATCGTGCTGGGAAGGTGCACCCAAGCAAATTCAACCCTATATAGTGCTAAGTAATGGCCGGGAGTTTGTGCCAGTACAAGTAAATGTATCTATACATAGACGTCTCTATTGATAACTTGGGCTGCAATGATGTATCGTACCAAATTGCGATACTTTCCTGTGTATCGTATCAAATGGTTTCATTTGCCTATATCGTGATGCAGGAACAGTATTTAAATTATCGATAAATTTTTCATCAAACTCTAAAAAGGTGTATATATATAATTTTGAATCCTTCAGTAAAGATGTGGTCCACTGTGCAGTCATACCAAAAGTACAAGAAATCATACAAAAATATGTTTTGATAGTGTTTACTATTCATGTCTATGGCAAAACTTGATAAAATCCTGCACACCATGAAGTTATGGTGTTGTCAGGTATACATATCGTTGAAGCCCTATCGACAACGGCAAGTTATTATTTTTTTATGATTTAAGGTTACAATTGTCTATCCAAACTCAGTTTGTGGTATACGTGTGTAGATCCTGGTCTGTATTCTATCAGAAATCCTAAACCATTGGGTGGCTACAATGTCCTGTCCTCAGTCTGTGTAAACAATTCTTATTCAGATGTTAATATGGCCAAATAGATTTTATTCAACTCCTCTAATGAAACAGAAAACATAACATGTAAAGTCAACAGTTCTCATGTAAAAATAAAATGTCCGTGACTGATTGCGTATTTATCAACTCCAAACTGAATGTAATGAGTGACAGTGTGTGCAATGATTATTCCAAGTGGAAATAGAAAAATTATGATAAAACATAAATACAAATGGGATGAATTGTTTCTCAAATAACAAAAACAAACTGTCGGAGTGATTATGGTCCCCACTGTTCAGAAATACATGCTTATGTCGTTGATTGCATTTATCTCAGTTTTGCTACAAATACTCTGACATACTTCCCAACTTTTTGAAACTTTCCATGGAGGAGACTGCATGTTCCAAATTAAAACCTAGATAAAATGTGTGTATATACCTTCTAGAAAATTACCCTTTAAAACATATTTAGAGGTGTTAAAAATAAATAATTATATCTTAGATTATAGGAATAGTTTTAACAAATTCACTGGTTGTGAAAATGCTGAATTTAAGGGTTTTAAATTGGGGGTCTCCCTCCTAAATAGTGAGAGTTGGTAATTATGCTGTGATTGACCCTGCCTCAAACTTTAAGGAATGATTTGTCACATTTATTGACATCATCCAATTTCAATGTTGACATGAAAAAAAGTCTCATTTTCCTTTTTAATAATTAAACGTCAGTACAACAATGATTCTGATAAACAGTCAAACCTGTATTATGTGACCTCTCACAGTTGGTTTCTTAATACACGTTTATGTCACAATCAAGTGGTCTCTTAACACAGGTGATCTCTTAATGGAGGTGTATAAAGATAGTCATCGCAGACAACTTAATCCAGATTACTCCTTCTAGATTACCTTGTGTTAATGAGAGCAAAGGTTGTGTAGATCAACCAGCGAACATGTCAGAAAAGTGATACAAGAAATCACCTGTTGATTATCATTATTTTCTTTGATTAGTTGAAAAATGTACTAATTAATTGAAAAATATGAATATCACATGTTTGAAATACTCTAACTAAAAATATAAACTATCGACTAAACCAGTCAATTTAATAAAATACGAGATTTCTCATATTCAACTTGATCCGATTCTTGTATTATTTATATCTATATAAGTGTATTTGAGGTGATCACATGTACATAAACAACACTGGGTTACCCATTGTCAGTATAATGTAACCAGGTTACTGTCATGGTGCCGTGGGTATATTTCTGTGAGGTAGCACTCTAAAGCAGGCATTATATCTGCACTAAAGCATGGAGACATATACCCTAATATCCCATTGCCAGCACACGCATACATTTCATACATGAATGACGTTAGTTGGATGCTAAACTCTATAAACTAAACCAAAATTAACCAAACTTACCGGTAAACACCCTCTCCAAAATATATTAAAGCTGTGTAGGAAGGAGGTGATAAACATGGAATTTCTAGAGATGCCATTCTTACTCGGTAATTTTCTCGATTATAAAACAAAATGGTTAACTTCATGTCTACAGCCACATGTAAGTATCATGAACAATTACCCTCTTCAAAATGTGAAAGCTTTATAAGATAAGAAAAAAGAGTTTATAAATGCCATTCTAATATATTCTACACAATTTGCAAAAATGGTACCTTTCATTTATACAACCACGTGTAGGTATCATTAACAATGTATCCATATGTTCAAATTTCATAATAACAAATTGCATAATAGCACGTAAACTTCAGATAGATGCACTCAAACATCTGATACACTCATATAAACATAAAATCACTTAAAAACCATTATGTAAATGTCATGTATCGGCATGTAAACACTAATTACAAACTCACATGTAAACATCACATATTCAATGTTCAACATCATACACAAACATCAGAGTGACATGTACAGTTGGACCAAAACGACCAGTTACAATTACCTTAACATGGAATATTCATATCTGGCATTGTATTGTTGACCTGTTGGTTGTGATCTAAAGCTTATTGGTCTGATAATGGCATATCAAATCTTTAAATTTTTATACATGAACTGATATTTTTAAACACTAGATCAATCTATGTTTTCCATATGAATATTACTGGTATGTAAACATAAGGTTATGATAAGCAACAAGGTGACTTCTATATGGTACCCATAGTCATTAAATATCACACATAAGCTATATGTACCAGCATGTAACAGAACACACTCATTCCCATTTATACATTTGCACATTATTGTGTCAACATCTAAACATCATGAACTCACATATAGGCATCATATACCTGTATGTAATCAGGTAAACATTTACTATTATCCCATACCTGTATGTAATCGGGTAAACATTTACTATTATCACATACCTGTATGTAATCGGGTTAACATTTACTCTTATCATATACCTGTATGTAATCAGGTAAACATTTACTCTTATCATATACCTGTATGTAATCAGGTAAACATTTACTAATATCACAATGACATACCTTTATGTAATCAAGTAAACATTTCCTGTATGTAATCAGGTAAACATTTACTATTATCACATACCTGTATGTAATCAAGTAATCACATGTACGTAATCAACATAAACAATGAATAGAATCTTTAAATGTTTCCCATTCCATTAGCCTTTAGAATAACACTGGAAAATATTAAAAGGACCAGGTAGTTACCAGGTTAGCCAAAATAATGTCATGGATACAGAAGTATATAGGAATCACTGGTCAAGTACCAGTAGTCAATGACCAAGTTGATGGAATAAAACTCGTTTCCTTACATTCTTACATGTAGTTTCACCATAATTTTAATTTCAAATGAAGATTAATTAGATCCCTTACAGCATTAGCATACTGAACAGGACAACAAGTTAACATCAACATGTTGTTAGATTCCCATAGGCCTGAATAGCTTATCTGGCACAAAGCTTGGGTCAGATTATACCATCCACTTTCCGTTTCATAGAGACTACATGTCAAGAACATCTCAAGAGGATTTGGATTTTTTTTTATGAACAACTCATCCCTTGGGCAAGGGGACTCCATGCTGCATAGTATTGTATGCCCCCCCCCCCCCCCCCCCCCCCCTCTATGGGTTGAGATGTAGACCCAACAGATAAAATCCTGATGCCAAGGTAGCAGGTTTATGTTGGGGCTAATCAAAATGTTCAATACTGTATTCAGGCAATGAGACCAGGGGGCCAACACATGATCTCCAAATCAAAGTAGGGGGTGGGCTTATTACAGGACAATGAAACATATCATACTGAACTGTAATAGATATGGATGGGCTTATTACTAGGCATGGGATTATCGCCGGACAAATACGGTAATTTTCATTAAAATATAGAAATGACTCCTTAGTACAAGTTTTCAAAACCTATTTTGTACAGCTCTAAAATTGGTGTGAGCCTTCCAGAGATCTAATGGAATTTACAGCTACGTTTATGTAGCCCTCACAAGCTTCACTATGTGGAACATTTGTATCTACATATCAAATAAGGCACTTTGTACATAGCAATTCAGATAATTGTAATATATGTATGGTAATTGGTGTTCAACTCATGGTTAAACAAGAAGAAAAATGTTAAAATAAACTTAGAAAATGTCTGTAAGATAAATGCCCCTTGGCCCTGTGGTTGACTTGGCATTAACCTTAGGACCCTGACATACAAACTCATCTAATGTATTTTGATAACTTTGGATGAAATTCTGTTTGGAAATGAAGGGTCGTTACCATGAATTACACAAACCCAAGATAAAAACCCATTGTATCAAAAACACATCAATTTTGTTTTGAATTAATTAAGGCTACCTTAATTGCAAAATTTCCATCACATCAATCTATGTATTGTGAAAATGTAACTGATGCTTGTTTACTGTAAGTTGAATTGGCTAGCCTGGGCTTATATTCATGAAACCATTCTATTGTTCAAGCATGGATCTTGTGTCCAAATGAACTTTCTTATAATTTGTTTAAAATGTTTGACATAGTCGAACAAATCAAGTCTAGACATTGAATACAGTATTTCAGCTTTAATTAAGTCTGTTAAAAAATATTCTAAATCAGTGACAACGTGTGATTTTGTATTTATATTGATTTATCTTTGGAACAAAAAAATTGGGCTTGAGCATGATAATGGTTTCATAAATGCAGGCCCTGGTCACCTTTGACCAGTATTGTATAACTTAGATAACATGTATCAGCTGATCTGGTCATTGTTCACCAGTACTGTATCTCTATGGTAACATGTATCAGCTGATCTGGTCATCTTTGACCAGTACTGTATCACTACAGCTACTATAACCTATATCAGCTGATATGGTCATCTTTGACCAGTACTGTATCACTATGGTAACTTGTATTAGCCGATATGGTCATCTTTGACCAGTACTGTATCGAGTCCTTCACGGTCTATACACGTCTGTATCTGGGCCAGGATGCCTAGGAGGCGCCGGTCCAGAGCCACATAATGATCTTCTGACAGTACGGGACTGATGGGGTCCTGGTTTAGGACTTCCTGTAACACCTCTGACAGGACCCCGTCCTGTAGGACCAGTAACCTCTGCCATGTCCTGTATCTTATTCTGGAACAAACATAATAAATTATTTTAACAGTTTTAATTGCTAATTTCATGCTTTAATGGTAATGGGAATATAGTCAAGTCTAAAACAGGTCAAAATTTGAAAACCCAACTTTTCCAATTTCACTGCACTATGTCGGAGCTCTTGGGAACACTAAATACCAGCATCCTTACTAAGTACAAATACGGATTGTTATATTGATGAATTTCACCACTTGCATCAAAAGCTCAGCAAATGCCGATGCTAGGATGAGTACTTGTAAGTAAGCCGCCTATTCTGCTAATACGCTAGCTAAAAATATTTAATTCTCTTTGCATGATTATGCATAACAATTTCTGTACACAAAGAAATGGCAAGATTATCACAGGTCATTATCAAATTGATGTCACGAAACGAGCTAAAGAGGCAGAGTCATATGGTAATGAATTTCACAGCATTTTGTATAAAATGTCCTTAAAAACATTTGAATTTGAAAAGTAAAATTTAACAGGTCTGCAATCAATTTTCAAAAAGAAATATATATATATATATACCTATATTTTTCAAGGTATAAGTATTTGATTCTTACTTTTTTAAATACACAATGTAATAGAATTTGAGTTAAGTGTTTTGCCATTGAATTATTGGTACTAGAACCAGAAGTTACGTGACTCGAAGCACCAACCTGCAGCATTGGTAGAGTGGGGCCATTATTGACTCCTCGTCTTTGTAAGGGTTACCAAAACTGTCAAACAGAAATATTTCAGAAGAAAAGTTAAACAAACTGTAAATCTCTAAAATATCAACACACAAACCAGCAAAATGACAACTAGACAGTGATGGGATATCACAAGTCAAATATTGGTTTTGAATAAATCTGATTAAGGGTTATAGGAAGGTAACAACTGGGCTGTAACAAGGCAATCATTTGGCTACAATAAAGCAAGTCAATGATTTGTTTAAACTAACCAATACATAACTGAGCTATCACTGGGTTACGATTGGACTTTACTTGTTGACAGTTCATAATGTTGTTCCAAAGTGAAAATGTGTATGCATCAGGATTCCTACCCCTCTGCTGACGAAACACTAAGAACTCTACTATAGTTTTCTGTACATAGAATAACCTCCCCTTAATTTCGTTTCTGGGTCGCATTACTAACACTGACCAGGCAGCAAAGTCACATGCTTAGAGTGACAGTATAATGATGATCAGCAGTAATATTAGTTTTCTTTTTAGAAAATTATCAAAGCCATAGTCATGCCAAATTCATAGCTAAGTTTTTAGCAGTGGCCTAAGGATTCTTAATGGAAATCTTACTGATGCAGAAAAGACTGATTATTAATTTTTCACTATACATTCCTTTTTCATGAAGATGTTATATTTTGTGATTATACGTGAAGTTATTCAGGTGAGCACCATCAGGTTTATAAGTAAAGTGTCGGTCATTCACCTCTTGCCATTGTCCAGTATGACGACCGGGCTGTCTGCCTGCATGCCGTTTGTCTCGTAGTGATGGCGATCAGCGTTCCCCGTGAGATAGTCCAGTACTGTTATGTCTATCAGGTCCAGCAGCCTGGGACCACTGCGGTACAGGTCAACATTCCTCACTGTGTCACAGTACTGGTTATCTGTCTCCCACCTACAGACATACACAAAAGTTATACACAACAGCATTATACAACAGCACACAACATTTACAACAATATATACTGTGTTATACACAATAGTTCGGTATATACCTACCATGTACACAGTACAACAGGATTTGGCCTCTGCATACAAGACCACAGAGTATGACCTCTGTATACAGGACCACAGTGTATGACCTCTGTATACAGAACCACAGTGTATGACCTCTGTATACAGGACCACAGTGTATGACCTCTGTATACAGAACCACAGTGTATGACCTCTGTATACAGAACCACAGTGTATGACCTCTGCATACAGGACCACAGAATATAAACTCTGTATACAGGACCACAGAGTATGAACTCTGTATACAGGACCACAGAGTATGAACTCTGTATACAGGACCACATGGTATGACCTCTGTATGTATGACCTATGTATACATGACCACAGAGTATGAACTCTGTATACAGGACCACAGAATATAAACTCTGTATACAGGACCACAGAGTATGAACTCTGTATACAGGACCACATGGTATGACCTCTGTATACAGGACCACTGTATACATGACCACAGAGTATGAACTCTGTATACAGGACCACAAGGTTTGACCTCTGTATACAAGATCACAGAGTATGAACTCTGTATACAGGACCACATAGTATGAACTCTGTATACAGGACCACAGGGTATGACCTCTGTATACAGAACCACAGTGTATGACCTCTGTATACAGGACCACAGGGTTTGACCTCTGTATACAGGACCACAGGGTTTGACCTCTGTATACAAGATCACAGAGTATGAACTCTGCATACAAGACCACAGTGTATGACCTCTGTATACAGAACCACAGTGTATGACCTCTGCATACAGGACCACAGAATATAAACTCTGTATACAGGACCACAGAGTATGAACTCTGTATACAGGACCACATGGTATGACCTCTGTATGTATGACCTCTGTATACATGACCACAGAGTATGAACTCTGTATACAGGACTACAGGGTTTGACCTTTGTATACAAGATCAAAGAGTATGAACTCTGTATACAGAACCACATAGTATGAACTCTGTATACAGGACCACAGGGTATGACCTCTGTATACAGGACCACAGGGTTTGACCTCTGTATAAAGAACCATAGGGTAAAACCTCTGTATATAGGACCACAGGGTATGAACTCTGTACACAAAACCAATGGGTTTGACCTCTGTATTCAGAACCACAGGGTAAATAACACCTCTGTATACAGGACCACAGTGTCTGACCTCTGTATACAGAACCACAGTGTATGACCTCTGTATACAGGACCACAGTGTATGACCTCTGTATACAGGACCACATGATATAAACTCTGTACACAGAA